CAGCTATTACTCCCCGACAACAGCACCAAAAATTTGATAGGGGTCTAGTTTTACCCAATTTATTGTACTACTGAAAGTGCACAGCAATACAGTTGTAGCACAAAGGGTTATCGAATCCCAAAGGAGTAAGCTACTATACTACATAATTTAGATTCAGATTATTTTAAGTCGAAACAGATGAATGTAAAGCGAAATAACTAAATGAAATAGAAGCAGACAATTTGTTGGTTGTTTATAAAGTTCAAGAGACTAAAAATGCTAGGCCAAGACAATTCGATGTTGAATCCGAAAATATAGAATGCATGCAATCAGGAAATAAATAAAACCGTCCAGAACTTGAAACACTGATTTATAACTAATCAATTCTCATTGCAGAAGTTACCTATGCCTAAATTCCAGAATTTCAAATCTCTTTGCGAATTCAATTAATTCAGAGAAGCGTTAATAACATGTTCGATTGTTCACAAAATTTCTAAATCAAATCTCTTTGCATATAGTAATTTTACTCATCTAAGACTAGTTCAGATGATTAACAATGATATCACATCTAATAAACAACCTATGGTGCGATTTCTATATGATCAGTCCTAAAAATCGATATGAATGCAAATCTAGATGAAGAACCAATGGATTTTCCTAATAGTTTAGCAAATCTACAATCTCTTCATCAACCTTTAAATCATCATACCCTAACTGGCAGATTACTCAGACATGGAGATGAATGCACAAATCATAACTGAATAATACTGCATTAAAAAGAAAAGAGTATAGATTCAAAGGTTCTAAATCTTCTCCAAAAGAGTACATAATTTGTCTCCCTCAAAGCTCTGGATCAATCTCTCTCAAAAGCTCACTAGAAATTCAGATACAAGCTAAAAAATGGCTGAAAAAACCTAATATACAGACTAAAACACGAATGGGACACTTTTGTAAATAGTAAAATTTTTAGGCCAATACTGTAATTCTTCTTTCATATTCTAGTTAACACGCGATGCTTCCTCCAGAGGTAGGTGACGAGTGTCACCAAGTGAGGGATGACGATCGTCACCATTGCACTATCGCGTCTCCTTGTTGCTTTAGTCGGGGAGAACTCCTGTTTTACTCTAAAATACTTCAGAATTTCCAATTATGCTCAAAGCATGCATTAACCTATAAAGACTATAATAGGATTCTAAAAAGACCAAAAAGACTCAATAAAAAGGACTTATATATAAAAACCATGATATATCAAAATGATTTGCATGAAGTTGAGTTGAATGGTGTTGCCTATCGTATGGATATGAACACGGTGACATGTGGTTGAAAAAAGTGGAAAATGATTGGTATATCTTGTCCTCATACTGCACATGTAATCATAGCAAAGAAATGAAAGGTTGAAGAGTTTGTCAATGACTTCTACACAACAATAAGGTGGCCGGAAACATATAGAGATGGTATTGCACCTTTCAAAGGCATGAAGTTGTGGCCTCGATTAAACATGCTACCTGTCTTGCCACCACCATGGAGAAGAGGTAATCCTGGTAGACCAAGCAACTATGTGAGGGGGAGAGGAGTGAACGAAACTGCTGCTTCTTCAACGTGTACCACACTATCTCGTGTTCGCAGAGTCATGACATGCTCAAACTGCTTGCAAGAAGGACATAACAAGCAACATTGTCAAAATCCAATTGTCGAGCCTTCAGCAAAAAGACCAAGAGGTCGACCAAGAAAATATCAGGTTTGTATCTTTCTTCATTTTCAAAGCATATTCATTCATCCATCATTTCTTATATTTTCATTTATTATCTCAGGAAGGAGGCACAGAAGAATTCTCACAGCCACATGTTTCACAATCACAAGGACTCCCACCATCACAAGGCGTTTCACAAGCACAAAGAGGATCACACAGTGAAGCTCATGGATCACAAGCATAAGGATCTGAAGGTTGGCGATTATGGTTTCTATGATCATGGTTTCATGGCTATTTGTATATATCAGATGTGAACATGGTTTCTTGGTTTTGTTTTGTTGGCATTTTGTCTTCTCTTAAAGGATCATAGTTTTAGTTTATGAACATGTTTGCCATATGTTGGCATTTATCTTCTGTTGACATTTTGTCTTCTCTAAATGGGATCATAGTTTTGGCATTATGAACATGTTTGTCTTCTGTTGGCATTTGGTTTATGAGTTGGCATTTCAGTTGGCGTGTTGTTAGCATTTTGTTCTCTTATGGGATCATGGTTTTGGTTTACGAACACATATAACATGATCTCATCTTACTCTCATTTCAATCATTAAACATGTAATATTTTGTAATCCAAATTCAAATTAAACATAAATATATCCAAAACACACAAATTCGAATGCAACTTATAAATAATCCATATTTAACAAAAGTTACATAAATCACTCTTTCACACTAATAACCAACCACAAGTTTTGTTTCCTTTGCTTTACTAAGCACCATCAAGATAGCAATAACAATGGCAATGAAGCGAAGACACACACAACACAATGTGTTCACCATTTTGCATTTTTTTCATTTTTTATTTTGCTCTTCACTATATCCTTCTTTAAGCTTTCAATGAAAGCCTTCAACTCTTGAACCTCAGATTTGGCATTGCAAATTTCAATTTCAATTCTTCCTAACTTCATTAAACCATTTTCAACCTCTTCAAAAACAGTTTCCTCCACCCACTTAAATAAATGGTCCTATTGCATACACAAATAAAATGACCGGACATTAGTTCTTTTGGTTTGATTTGTTGGTCTAAAAATATAAACAACAAAAACAGTATCAAAACCTTACATCTCTTGTGTTTTTGCGGTTTTTTACATCTCTATTGCTTATGCAGCGTAAGAAAGGTCGTCCCAGATTGTCTTGTGTCTTAGATGTGAGAATGATTGCATCCAATCCACACACACATTTCGAAGGAATGCCACGAGCAACATGGGGATTCATTAGAATAGGAAGACAAAGTGAGTGAATAATCGGTTGGGAAGTAGAAAGAATGAGAGAGAGAATCGAGAGAGAAGAGAAGAAATCGAGAATCTAGAGAGAGGAGAAGCGAGAAGAGAAAAGAGATTTGATTTTCGATTTGGAAATGATATAAGATTGGAATCACTCCAACTTATGATCACAAGATGATCAAGAGAAGTCCAAGCTTATAGTGCGGAATGTGGGATGAAGTCGGAATGGAGGTGGAATTGAGGTGGAATTGAGGTGATTGACTCGCTCAATCGGTGGGTTGACTGACTCGCTCAGTCGGCGGGATGGCTGACTCACTCAGCCGTTGAAACTAGCCTTTCTTGAATCACACAAACAAATCTATTCCAAGAATCAGTAGAAACAAAAGAATCACTCAATTGAATCTAAAGACAAGTTGTTTAAACAAAGAACGCTCTTTGAATAAAAAAAAGAACAAAGTTTTTATATTTTCTTAGATAAAAGGAGTGTCTTAAAAATGAAACAACTATGAGTTTATATAGGCTCAGTACATGTCCTAGACATTAACTCTTAAGAGAGAATTATGTAAAAATCAAAGAAATATCAAAAAGAATGATTAAAGAGATTTTTGACCCATTTGATGAGTGATAGGGGGAATGGCTAGACTCAAGGGATTCTTTGCTGACTTTGTATCTGGATGGCTTGAGGGTGTAAGTGAGCTTCTGTGGGACGATTTTCCTTTTCCAAGAATCATGCAAAAGGCTGAAGTCTTGGCTAGAAACTAGCTTTTGTGGTTTGATGGAATTCTGCTCCAAGAATGGTAAGTTTAGTATGAATGTGATCCGTCTGATCAGATGTGGTCTGGTGTAGCTTAAGAGGTGTGGATGTGTATATAATAACTCTAAAATGTTGTAGCTTGGAAGAAGTAGCCGTTGGTGCTCCTTTACTCCAAGTGTGAACATGCGTTGATATGGTAAGTTTGTAAGCAATGGGATCCACCTGATCCTGTGAGTGATGGTGTTTGGTAAGGTGCTAGCTGACTCTCCTGATTGGTTTATTATCTCTCCTGAATGGTTTTATGCTTCTCTTGGTCGCCAAAGTTTGGTTTGCAAGTGATTAAACTCGCCAGCTCCTATATAAGACAAGTTGAGCATCCTCCGATTTAGAAGTTGAATAACTTTTAAACCGTAATGAATTTTGGCATGAATCTAATTCGCCTCGGTTCCCTGATGAGTTAGGTTTCCATAACATCCGGTTTCGTTGCTTGATTCGTCGTAGTTTGTCCGGAATGATTTAATTAGTGCTCGCATATCTCCATCGGGTCCATTGAAGATTTTCCAATTTGTATCTTCAATATCTTCTTCATATGAACTCCTTTTTAGCTGATTCTTCTTCGTGGTGAACTCTGGATGAGTTGAGTATGCTCTCCAAATGTTGTTTGAGTTTGAATATTTGACATAAACCTCCATTTGAGCTGAACTCCACTCTCATGCCTCCTTAGCTCTCCTCAGCTTTATGTTCTCCACTTCATGACTTCTGGATCCGTGCTCCTTGGCTGATGATGACTTGATGTCCGCATCAGGAAATTAGAGATTTGATTTTCGATTTGAGGATTTTCTATGTATAGAAACGACTTCATTTTGGTGTTAATGACAAGTTTAAATGGAATTTATCCCTATCTAATGGAACTGGAGATAATGAGATGTCTAAAATTCAACAAAAATTTAGAACTAAAAGTGAAGTCAACGTAACTATCTGTTTTTTGAATTACTTCCGTAAAATTCTACGGTTTAAATGGCCGAATTTTAAAGTTGAGAATTTAAATGTTTTTTTCTCGGAAATTTGACGTGTTTATAAAACAGCTGCTCGTCGGAGCGGTTTCTAAATGTCGGAGACGCAAATTTGGACCAACGACCCAAAAGAAGGCCCAAACATATAATCTTGATTTCTGTTATGATAAAGTTGGCCCGTTTAAATAAATATACTAGGCTTCAATAGAAAGGGTTATATTCCACGTGACGTCTCACTATTGGTTGGTCACTTTGATAATATAACAGTCAGTAAGTAAGCATTTAATCTCTTTCGCTTACAAAAAAAAAGCGCGGATTTTTTCTTAAGGCTCCAAAACTCTGAGACCAAGAAACAGAGAGAAGAAGAAGATAAAGCAAAAAAAATGGCAACGATAAATTCAACGGTCACAATTCTCTCTCCCAAATCAATCCCAAAGAGCATCGATTCGAAATCGGGAGTTAGGGTTTCTGATCACACCGTCGGTTTCTCTCCCAATATCGTCAAATGCGTCAATTCCTCCTCCTGCCGGAGATTGAAGTTAGCGAAGCTCGTCTCAGCGGCCGGTTTATCGCAGATCGAACCGGACATCAACGAAGATCCGATTGGTCAATTCGAGCTTAACAGCATTGAAATGGTAAGACTGATTATCGATTTGGAACTCTCGATTTCTGGAAGTTTCGTGGGAAAGTGATAAAATTTTGTTTCTGATTCTTCGTTACAGGAGGATTTCAAGTATGGATATTACGATGGAGCTCATACTTACTACGAAGGAGAAGTTGAAAAGGGTAAATTTTTAGTTCTTGTTTCGATTTTTCAGTGATGTAATTTGTTCGTTTTGATGGAATCTTTCTTTTTGAATGGTTTTCTTCAGGAACATTTTGGGGAGCAATTGCAGATGACATTGCTGCTGTTGATCCTCCATCTGGATTTCAAGGTTATAATCCAACATGTTTCTATATAGAGCAGAAATGAAAATTTATAACTCAAACTGCTTAAAATGTTTGAAATATGTAATCCAAGAAACGTTTCTATATATAGATCAGTAGCGAAAATTTATAACCCAAAAAGTGCTTAAAACGTTGGAAAATAATCCAAAAAGGATTATTTTATAGAATTAGAAACGAAAATGTATAGCCTCAAATGCTTTAATAAGTCAATTATTGATGTTTTTTAAAATATATCTGCAGGTTTAATTTCTTGGATATTTCTTCCTGCTATAGCTGCAGGGATGTATTTTGATGCTCCGGTAACTTTCAAAAACTTTTGCTGTTCTTACAAAATTGTGAATTTTCTAGTGTTTGTTTGCTATTTGAGAGTCGATTTTCACTTGTTTGCTAAGTAAAGTAGTGTTTTGTGTATGAATGTGTGTTTTGTAGGGTGAGTACTTGTTCATAGGTGCAGCGTTGTTCACGGTAGTGTTCTGTATAATAGAGATGGATAAACCAGACATGCCACACAACTTCGAGCCTCAGATTTATAAATTGGAGAGAGGAGCTCGTGACAAGCTCATTAGTGATTACAACACTATGAGTATTTGGGACTTTAATGACAAGTATGGTGATGTTTGGGATTTCACCGTTGAGAAAGATGATATAGCCACAAGATAAGATGTGGTTTCTCATTATAATGATGACTTTTTGATTGAAACTGTTTATAAATTGATGAATGAAAGTTTGTTACTACATATGTATATTATAGATTGTTATTTATCTTAATAAAGTGGTGGTTTAACAAAGCTTTTACACCAAGATTTGAAGTTCAAACTCCACAAAATGTTATGGATTATTCAGAGGTTTTATGTATGGACTGTGGATTTGATCTTATAAATTAGTATGTCATAAATAGTAGATTGTTATTTCACTTCCAATGAAAAGAGAGTATGTATGGACTGTGGATTTGATCTTATCAATTAGTATGTCATACATAGTAGATTGTTATTTCACTTCCAATGAAAAACAGAGTAATGGTATACAAGTAGATATAATTTTGGGTTATTCAAATAAAATGTTCGCATAATTTGTGTCATTGTTAAAAAGAATAAAAAAATTATAGTGACTTATTTTGTCAATCGTATTTAAAAAGAATATTATTCAATTATCAATTTCTAGACTAATGAATACTCTATAAATTAATAAATTTTGAAAGTTCCAATATTATTAATTTATAGAGATTTTATTATATAATCTAATGTATTTATGTTATAATTTTATTATTTATTTAATTATAATTTAGTCAATCAAAATATTTCGCTTATTTTAGAAAATTTGACATATCACATTTACATATCATTATTAAAATATACAATCACATATACATATCACATTTACATTTACTATCTTCTTTTATGGTGTTAACAAATAAGTTTTTTTCAATAATTATATTTCTCAAATAATGAGTAGGTGATTCGATAAAAGACTAAAAAGAATCTCTCACCAATAAAGTATGAATAAGCTTCTGGCCAACAAATCAATAAGACGAAGTCTACATGACCTTTGCTACCAAAACGCCTCTAGAGGCAAGAGAAAATGCGAAGAACTACCTAGACATCTCAAAAGTAGGGAAAGGCAAGTACCTACGTATGCAAGAACATTTCGACAGGAAATAAAAAATACCTCTTCTCCTCAATCGTTGATAAAATCCACCAAAGAGCATAAAGCTGGACCTCTTCTCTTCTCTCGGGAGCAAGGAAGATGACAATGCTTAAATCCATCCTCTCAGCACTTCTTACCTACTCCATGTCCTGCTTCAAACTACCAGTCAGCCAATACTAAAGGATTCAATCCATACTGACAAGATTCTGGTGGGATCAAAACCCGGAAAATAAAAAAATGTGTAGGGTGGTATTGGAACAAACTCACCAAACCCTTGTATAAGGGGGGCGACTCGGTTTCCGTGACATCCAGAAATTCAGTGATGCCCTCCTAGCAAAACTCAGCTGGCGCATCCTCACCAAACCATCGTGCCTGTTAGCCCAAATTCTTCAAGGTAAATACTGCCAAGAAGCTCACTTCTTACAATGCAAACTACCGTGCTCCTCTTCACATGGCTGGCAAGGCATCCTAGCTAGCATATACCTCATCAAAGCTAACCTGAGAATCACGATAGGCAATGGTAAACAACAGTTTGGTATAAACCTTGACTATCACTTAGAGCTCCTACCTCTCTTATCCCCCCCCCCCCCCCCTCCCTCACAAGAGAAACATGTTGCCTTATGGTATCGGACCTAATCTCGGAGGCTAGCTTAACTTGGAACAAAGAAAAAGTGAGGAACTTCTTACATGATTATGCCGAAGCAATCTTTTGCCTAAGACCGAGCTTCAGAGGAGCATAAGATGTGTGAACCTGGTTGCCAAATGACTCTGGAGTTTACACTACTAAGTCAAGATACCACTCAGCCACCTTCAGTGACACTCCGGGGGAAACCCCTCAGCAACAAACAACATTCCCATGGATATATGGTCAAGCCGAGTTTATCCAAAGATTAAACTCTTCTTATGGAAAAGTTTGAACCAAGCTTTACCTGTGGGAAAAAACCTCCAAAGTCGTGGCCTGCGTTCAAATTGCAAACGTTGTAGAGTCATTGAGACCACAAAACATTTATTTCTTCACTGCTCTTTCGCAAAAAAAGGTCTGGAGCTCTTACCCCTACCAAACTGAGGTAGACTCTTCCACGATTCCCAATTTCACAGCAGGACTATCAGCATCGAAGCATTGAATTTTCGAAATGAAGTAAAGAAAAGAAAACTACAAAACTCGAAATGCCAAAAGATGAATCAATGATTTGTACATAATTACTTTACACAGTTTAGTATTTAGTATTTAACTACTTACTACTACTGCACAATAACGATTGATTACGAAATTATTGGGGCGCAACTAATCCAACAACGACTAGTTTAGATCAATTAAAAACCTAAGCTTAATTTTCTTAGAAACATCAAAATCTTTGTCTACACAGTGATAGTCAACAGACAAGTCACTTTTGAAACCGCAAAAGCAAATTGCTTTATAAATATATATATACTGAAATAGCAGCTTCTAAATAATTAAAACTTTTATAAAAAATCAAAATTAAAATAATTTATTATACGGTCTGATTGAAACCTTTATTGATTAGAATCTTTTACAAGTCAAATCAAAAATGTTTTGTTAAAAAATCGACTCCGAGCCAAAAGTAAATTCGTAAATGACCCGAATAGCATTCAGTTTCGTGTATACGATGCTTTTTTAAGTTTCTGATTAAGAAAACAAAATTATTAATAAATAAATATTTATATATGAAGATGGTAATAATGTATAAACTATGTTATTGGATGTATCATATCATATCATGATTGTTGGACCAGGATTTGTCACCAAATCCAGCCCGTTAACTGGCCTATCGAAACCAACCTCGAAGGATATCCACATTCTGAATGCATGGCCCAACAAGAGAAAGGAAGGATAAGAAGAGAACGGTTCAAAAGGACGACGTGAGATCCGGAGCTCGTGCGGGATACGGATCGCGGGATACGCGTTGGAACTAATGAAGTAGGGAGAATATTTAAGGAAGATATTCACGAACTAAAGGACCATTCGCTCTACGAGCTCTTGCACCACAAAATACTCGATCTCTTGTAAACGATCTCTTGATTAAATCAATAAAGTCCATTTATCTATTCTTGATCTTAAGTTCAGTTGTTCAAATCGAGATTTTTATCCATCTTTTCCCCAATATCATCTAAACACTTTACAAATCATTGAGTGTGGATATCTGCATCCACATTTTGGCACCGTCTGAGGGGAAGATAAAAGACATCTCTAACACTATAGTCAGATCTAAGGTCGGTAAGAACGATAATGGATCCTAGAAATTTGGAATCCACCAGATACGCCGTGCCGACAAACAGAGAAGGGATACCCCCTTCCGATGCGCACACCCATTCGAACACCGGAACAATCCGGAATGAACCAGAGATCGCTAGTCCGACGATCCCAGCTGCCGTGACCGACTCCGGATTAACACGTCCCGGTCACGAACAGATCGCAACCGGTGACACAAATCACGAGGAACGGATCATCGGCGAAGAGCAAGCACTCAGACCGAGCGATCCGAACAGGCACCATAACCCGCGCGTTCTTAACTCCAGCACGCGAGGTTCGAACCTCGCGCTGAGCATGTGACGACCGTCCCGGTAAATCAAACCGTAGCCGGCGGTTCAAGGAGCACACCTCCAAAACAGCCCCCCACCGAAAGAATAAACCCTTTCGTCTGGGTCAGAACAGGGGAAAGACAACCTTCGACCTCAGAACAGATCCAACCCCCCAATCTGGAGACGCTCGGTATTAACCCGGACGACGCCTCTGAGATCCGGAGGATGCTCTTCCAGATGACTCAAAACTTTGAAGCCCGTCTGAACCAGCAGGCTCATGCTATTAACGAATATCGGGCTGAAGTCGCGAGATCCGCAGCTCGAGACAATTTTCAAGGAAACCGCTCCGGGCATGTGACCGACTCAAAGAGGAACCCACCACCTCGAGTGCATCTGGACTTCTCCCAGGCATTTACAACCCCAGAAAACAGAAGACAGCATATCGCACCTTCTACTTTGCGACAAGGAGTCGCCAACCCCAACGATCCGAGCCCCAGCACGGCAACAGCCCGTGGGAACCAGGAAATACTTCCCCCGCATCCACCTCGTCTTGGATCGCAATTCCCTAATCCATCCGGAATACCTTCGGACCCCCGCTCCGAAACAGCAGACCTCGAAACACTCAGAACCCACTCTCGGGAAATGCATGCAAGGCGAGACGACCATCCCGACACCCAGCTAAACGATGGCTCACAAGAACGAGCTGCCCAGAAACACCCTACTGTCCACCTCGACCAAATCAACCCTCGAAGGGTAACAGACCTAGAATCGGTCCAAAGGCATATCGAGATGCAAAACGCGGAGCTCCGTAGAATGAGAGCATTCATGCATACAGCAACGAGCTCCGCACCATACATTGACCTCGCCATCGAAGACACGAGGCGAACACCCTTCGTCGCTAGAATAGGAAACGCCAACCTCTGCGATACCAAAATTCCCGGAATACACAAGGCAAACAGACCCTAAAGCACACATCAGGCTCTTTAACCACGCCGCAGCCCAAGCCCGACTCGACGATAACGAAAAAGACTCCGGCTACTGCATACTGTTTGCCGGAACACTCGTAGGACCAGCGCAAGAATGGTTTGCAAGCTTGGAAAGCTGCTCCAGTAACAACTTCACCCAGTTCGTAGCAGTATTCCTCAAGCAGTACTCGGTGTTCATCGAAACGAAAACCACCGAGGCTGACCTATACAGGCTAAAACAAGGCGGAAATGAACCGCTACGAAGTTTCTTGACAAGGTTCAAAGAAATAAAATACAAAATCGCCGACCTCAATGAAGGGTTAGCATTGGAAGCCCTCAAGGACAGACTCTGGTACGCATCCGGCCTCAAGCTGGAACTCTCGATCAGGTGCATCACCTCGCTAAACGACGCGTTGCACCTAGCCATGCTTTTCGTAAAAGCAGAAGAAACGAGAGCATTCGAACAGAAGCAGCACAAAGCTAGCCTTTTAGCTCAAAGTCTGAGTTCGCAAAAAAGAAACCCCAAAAGGGAACCCGCGGGTAGAAATCAGCAATCGTTCGCAATCGATAATCCAAACCTGGACAAACGATCCGAGTACGATGCCAATAAATTCTGCAAACACCACAAGCACAAAGGGCACTCCACCGAAGAATGCCGCGCAGCAGCCCGCCTACTAGCTGCAGCAAAAAAACCGCAAAGCGACGAAGACAACCCCGAGCAGGAATCCTCAGAGGAGGAAAGCCCCTCCGACACTCTCCCAAAACCCAAAAAGACGCCTAAGACCAAGGC